TTTTTTTTTTTTTTTGGTTCAGATTTGTTTGAAGTAATGCCTAGAATCTTTTTATTTAATGTCGAATAAGAAAAATGGTCATCAGAAAACTACCAAATTAATACTTTTCAAGAGCACGCACGTACACGGTGGCTTTAGATCACATACATCTTAGGCTTCAGAACATCTTCCTGTTTTGTGATTATATTGCTACAAGAAGCAAGATATAATGAGAAGTTATGAACCGAGACTATTTCACAATACCCGAAAAGTGTAACAAAATCAAAACTTATTTCAAATAGTGAAGGCAACAATATTAAATGCATGATACCTATGAACCACATCTCTCTCTCTCTCTCTCTCTCTCTCTCTTAGTCTCTTTACAGCATGGAGGGATAATCACAAGAATATTGTGAAACTCACATGCTAAAAACACTATATATCCATTCATGAAATCAATAAAAACTCATCGATCAATACATGACAGGCCAAATTACTAAAAGAACCAACGAACAATATATAATAAGTTCATAACCCTCTAAAGGTTAAGGCAAACAAAGATCAATACAACCAAATATAAAAATAGATAAATAAATACCTGTCGAAACTGACTGATGCTTACGGCCAGAACCCGGCGGCCTTCCCCTCCACTTTTGAGTCGGCCTTCCAATTTGAGCAGCATTAGAGAAAGAGGTCGATAGGCCCAAAGAAACTGCACCATCATGTCCATACTTACGAGGCCTTCCCCTTTTCCTGCGAACGGGCTCAACTTGCTGCATAGCTGGTGGGCCCATGCCATGCCCATGACCCGACATTGCTGGTGAAGTGTCCAGAGGCAGTGACGATACTGTTAGGCCCGGCCCGGTGTTTGACTGGAAATGCAAGGGGGAACTGGATAATTGGCTCATGTTGTTAGGCGAGTTTCGCAAACCCGATACAGGCTCGGGCAAGTAATACGAACCCGAACCAGTGAGTGACATATCCTCCCTTTGATCCATGCATTTATTTATTTATTTATTCCTGAAAATTTCTTGATTTGAGGTTCACTGTGGAAAAAAAAAAAAGGCAAGCATAAGAGGAAAGAGTGACAATGGATTTAAATGTTTGTAGGTGTTTAGTTGACTTTTTTCTCTGTTGGTTACTTGTTAATTGTTAACCACACACTGTTAAACAGTTCAGGATTTGCTTGCCAACTATCTATTTCAGTAAAACTGAAAAAAAAAAGTATCTTTATAGATAAACCTTGAGAAAAGCAATGGACCCATTTTCTTTCACATCTGCAAGAAAGAAGAAGATGACAGAAGCTAGAAAAAGAAAAATAAAATAAAAATTGCAATTTTTGAAAATCAAAACTTTCATAGAGCAAGTTCAAATGGGCTTTGAAGTTTGAACACAGGAAAAAAAATTAATAAATAAGAGAAATTACTCGTTATGAACCAAGAAAGGGCATTAAAGATGACAACTCCAAATCAAAGATTTGATTTTTTTTTTTAACATAAAAAAGCGAGAACCCCAAGAATAATCACAACTGTCCTAACGAAGAAACAGAGTACAACACAGACTAAAATAATTTTCACTCACAGCAGTTCTCTATTCAATCTCCTCAAATCAAACGGCAATCAAAAAGACCAAATTCTCAAAGCCCTCAAAAGCAAAACCATGCCATCTCACCATACAAAACCATGCACAATGGTCTAGAGAAAGCAAACCGAAAACTTAAAGAAAAAAAAGCTCGAATCTTTCGTGAACGCAGAGGTTGT